AAAGCTCCCGGCCGACCTCGACTTACCTTGAATGACGGTGTTGTCGGCGGGCAGCGGCGTTGTTCGTTCTCGGCAGGCAGCGGCGAGTTGGGAAGCTCACCGGGAGGAGAGGGCCAGACGCATGTCCTCAGCGTGGGCGCGGCGTTGCGTGACACCAGCGTAGGCGCGAGCGGCTTAACTGAGCAGCGTGCGTGAGCGGCGAGCGGAAATTTGAATTTTAGCCGACGAATCGACGATGGAAAACGTTGGCAACGTTTTCCATCGTCGATTTTAATCGACTTTATCGAATAATTGTTGCAGCTCTATTGGGGAGCACTGCTGTAATGTGTGCCTTACTGTAATCCATGGTTGTTTCCCTTCTCTTTGCTGCTCTTTTAAATCTGTATCTGTTCTCATGCTGGGCAGAACTTCTGTTTTGCAGCAGACTGCCTTGTCCCTGAAATGGATACATGGTGTCTGTGTGTAGGTTTGCAACCTGAGCCAGCACTACAGGAAGAGGCCCTGAGCTGCAAAGGGAAGTTCTCCCCAAGCATGAGAAGACATGAGGATTTAAAAGGAAGAGCAGCAAAGAGAAGGGAAACAACCATGGATTACAGTAAGGCACACATTACAGTATTGGTTTATGTTAAACAATCTGAGGGTTTAATGTCACTTTAACAAGCAGTGATGTACAAGTAAGCAGAGTCCAACTGGGAATGCTTAGCATCTCCATCAGGCTCTGGCGCCACTGTCAACATCGGTGGTTGTTATGGAAGCTGTCACAGAGCAGAGTGGGCAAAGCCTGATGGGGATGCTAAAGTACTAGTTCCCTATCACGTCCGCTCTGCTACTAATTGACAACAGGCGGTGGGTGAATTCTATAGCCAAAAGCCAGCTTGATATTTGCTATAGAATCTGCCCACTTCCTGCTGTCAATCAGTAGTAGGGTGGACCTGATAGGGAACTAGAATCTCAGTAGCTCTGGAACGCAACGCAATTGGTGTGAACAAGCCCTAAAGAGTGTCATAGAGCAGCCTGTGGTATATGAACACTATGTTGTAGGCAGCTTTTGGTAGATCCACTCATATCTGGTTGCTTTAGCGATAACAGTACAACAGCTAAGCTAGAAATACATGGTTAGAAGTAGAGCTGCCGCTAACGATTATTTTCAAAATCGATTAGTTAGCCGATTATTAAGTTCGGTTAATCGGTTAATCGGATAAACAATAAAATACATTTTAAAAAATGGCTCCAGTGATGGACTCTCCCTGCGTCCCTGTGCCGATCGTGGATGTGGGCGGGCGGTGAGTGTGAGGCGGGGAGGAGGTGCGGCATAAAGAGCGTGGATGCGGGCGGGTCAGGCAGCGGCGAGCGTGAGGTGGGGAGGAGGTGCGGCGCGCAGCGTGTGTGGAGCCTTGAACAGGGCCAACCGATCAAAAGCCGATTAATCGATTATTGAAAACGTTGACAACTTTGTCAATAATCGATTATAATCGATTATGTCGATTAGTTGTTGCAGCCCTAGTTAGAAGTTTGTTTGAAAGTTTGTACAAAAAATTCTGATTTCCTTTTACGAAATTCTGAAAAATCATTCAGCAGAGAATTCAAATTCCTTACATCCCTTCTTCAGGCTTTATACATTTCTCTGTGAAAGTTATGAAGCCAGAAGAAGGGATCTAAGGAATCCTGAAAGCCTGCATCTTTAATAATTTCAGTTAGCCGATAAACTGTATCACCTAAAGCTGAACTCTAGGTATGAATTATTTTGAATACTTACATTTGTCCAGCTTGGCCTAATGTATGTATATGATATATCAGGTAGAGCCACGGGGATCCTTCAAGGCACTGGATTAGGTAGACAACGATCTTCTGGGTGTGATGAGTGACTCCCCCTCTGATCTGAAAACACAGAGGGTCACTCGCTCGGCACAGCGGCCATTCAGAGAACATCTAGTATTTTTTATCAATCAATAAAAGGCGTTCTCTGAATGGACGAGGGGCCTATCATGACTTCACTATCCCTTATCCAATCAGAGAACACCTTTGTATTCATGGATAAAAATATCAGGTTTTCTCTAAATGGCCGCTGTGCAGAGTGAGCGCCCCTGTGTTTTCAGAGGGGAAGTTGCTCAGCTTAGTGCCATACAGACGTTTGCTGTAAAACACTCTAGTACAGGGGTGGGCAACTCCGGCCCCCCTGCCGTCCCAACATGTCTCTGCCTCTGGGAGTCATTCCTGTAACTGTCAGTCTTGCAATACCTCATGGGACTTGTAGTTCCACAACAGCTGGAGGGCCAGAGTTGCCCACCCCTGTTCTAGTAGCTCCGGCTACACAATGCTTTACATGATCCCTGTGGGTTGACCAGGTATATCATATCCATACGTACATTAGGCCAAGCTGGACTACTGTAAGTATGCAGAATAATGTAGAGTAGACTTGGAATTCAGCTTTAAACTCCAAACTTTCTACATTTAAACTTGTAAAGTAGCAGCATCAGAAATCCGTCCCACCACTACAAGCACAATGGCAAGTGTAGGAAGCACAAATGGAAGGAACACTACTTCATACATCTGTTTAGTATTAAAAATGTCATCCATGCAACTAAAATGGAAGCCAAACTACAGTGTGAAAGGTAATATTAGCATTCTATGTGATATGATCCCCGAGAAATGAAAGGTGATCAGTGTTCCTGACGGATAGTAATCCAATGCTTAAAACACCCCAATAATTCATACCCTTGCACAATTTGCGACACTAATGGAACGTCAAATCATTGAAATGTTCCAGACTGGGAAACAACCAATGCAATTATGGCTCAATGTGCTGCGAGGGACAACTTGCAGGGTGTCAAGCCTTCCAAGGTGATGACTTTAGGACCAATGAATTAGTTTACTCTCAGCCTCCACCGTGTTGTTGCTAGGCAGACAAAATAGGTTATTTCGCTAGTAATCAGATGCCAATTTGTACAATCCTACAGATGAGCCAGGAGACAGTATGCCAGCTAGATGTCTGCTGATGTGATGTGCTGGAGTAATGCATGATACATTTTTTTTACAATCAGTGCACCTCATTTATGAGACTCCATCAACATGTAATACATCACACACACAATCCCAGCTACACTCAGCTAAAGCGTACGATGCCTTTGCCCATCTAGATGGCATTCGCTGTGTACTATACACCTGTATACAGACATACAAGCAGAATTGTGTCAATCTCATCATACGGTGAACTGATCCTGATCCATTAGAAGAAAAAAATATCATTCACACCAGATGAATGTTCATTCGCACACATCCGCATCATAGCCCTATACATCACAGGTAGCATTCGCTGATTGTCACCTGGGAGCTGTCCTTATGGTACACTATCTCCCTGTCACACGCTGCCATCCTCCGGTCATCGGTGTATCAGACCGATCCCAGCCACCGGTACCCCATCCTTGCTCTGCAACCACGGAGCGAGGCTTTCTGGGAAATGTAGTCTTCTCCCTATCAAAGGCTCGCCAGTGCAGCATCGGCAGACATCATCTCCCAAAACGCACTGCGCCGGAGAACAGGAGCCACACAAAAGGACGGATCGCCTGATAGACGCCGCAGCGCCCCCTGCTGGCGACAGAGCAGCGCTGCAATCTTCTCTGAGCTGATAAAAATGCAAATAAATCAATAAAAAGAATAAATATATATATCTATATGGATATATCTATCTATCTATATAGATAGATTTTTGTCACCAGGACTCCATGGTTGCCCTTTTCTGCCTGTGTGTGGGTGTCAGCTGGCCTGAAACCCGGACACAGAGCATAAAGGACTCGAACTGTCCGGGTGAATCCAGGACAGGTGGCAACCCCAATGGCTGCCATTGATGCAAAAAGGCTTACCGCTAGTTTACAGAGTAGAAAACTGGTGGTAATTAAGACCAACTCTGAGCTGGAGTACAGAGTGCTCAGGGTGGGGCATGAATGTGCTGGAAACCTATCAAGTGACAGTTCCCTGCCCAGGGCTCCATGGTTGCTAGGACATCGGCGGCCACCAGAATCCTAGCAACCAATGATGCATGCCCATCCTATTTATCTACCGGTTGGAAGATTCCCTGGCCAATAGTTGAATGAAAACAAAGGGGCTGGGTTTACTGGCTGACATCATTACCCAAGTATCACAATGGCCAGTTTTGGGCAATGATGTCAGCCACCATCCTAAGCCTCATTGTTTACATTCAGTCGTTGGTGGGTAAATCTCCCAGCTGGCAGATGAATGGGAGCGGGGTTGCATCATTGGTTGCTAGGATGCTGGTGGCTGTTGGTTTCCTAGCAACCAATGAGCCCCGTGCAGAAAGCTTTCACATTCATGGTCTGATAATGGGGACGTTGAGAGACTAGTCCCCCATCAAGTTCGCCTCCACTAATTGACAGCAGGATGCATTGGGCCTCAGCAGCTATGGAATCCATCCACTGTCAGTCACAAAAGAAGATGGGGCTGATGGGGAATTAGTCTCTCAGATTTCCGTAGCAGACAGACTCCAACCACCAACAGCAAAACTTGGCCACTGCATCTGCATGTATGACAAGCGCAGTGGTTGGTTAGGGAACTCGGTACGCTGAGCCTGTGATTTTTCAGGCTCAGCATTATTGAGTAGCACTGAGGATATAGTGTCTGGTATGCACACTCCAGCCTCAGAACCACTCCCTACCATGCATCAAAGGTGACAATGGTGACAGATGGACACTCCAGCCTCAGCACCACTCCCTACTCGACCATGGTGTGCTGGTGATACTTTGCTACTTGCATCTTTCACCATGGATACATTGTGGAGGGTGACGCTGAGCGTCACCCTCCACAATGTATCCATGGTGAAAGATGCATGGTGCAATGATGCATGGTGAAAGATGGTGAAAGATGCAAATAGCAAAGTATCACCAGCACACCACGGTCAAGTCTTCAAGAAGTGTCATGCCTGATGAAGGGACCCTAAGTGGCCCCGAAAGATTGCAATGTGACAAGATGTGTTTGTATCAATAAACCATCCACTTCTAGAAGACTTGACCATGGTGTGTTGGTGATACTTTGCTATTTGTATTTGAAGCGGAAACCATCTGCAGTCACTACAGCACCAATCCGAAGTGATATACCAGTAAGGAGTGCCATGGGATTCTTCTGGAATATGGTGACAGATGGACACTCCAACAGTAGAAAGGCATCATGGCACACTCACAAACCAGCATGTAAAACAACTTGTCTCACCACTAAGGACAATGACAGAGGTTTGGTTACACGTCTTCTGCAAAGGATGTGTAAGCCGCACTGCCGCGCCAAGGCACCTCTTATAGTGCGGTCCTAACTCTAAACTATGAGAGTCTCCATCTTGGAGCACATGGGGGCAGAATATATCAAATTGGGTGCAGGCCTGTCAGGAGGACGCCCCACCTCCTTAAAGGTACAGAAACACACAAGGGATCCCGCACATCCCATTGGCAGCTGAGAAACCCCATGCGTCGCTGCACCAAATCGGTAAAGCAAAACAAACGACAAACGCACTCAACAATTTGTTACCAGTTATACAGTAAGGTGCACACGAAATGGGCTTTGAACAGTAGAACAGTAGAAAGGCATCATGGCACACTCACAAACCAGCATGTAAAACAACTTGTCTCACCACTAAGGACAATGACAGAGGTTTGGATACACGTCTTCTGCAAAGGATGTGTAAGCCGCACTGCCGCGCCAAGGCACCTCTTATATGGACACTCCAGCCTCAATGCCACCCCCCACCATGTGTTTATAGTGAAAGTTGGACACTCCAGCCTCTGTGTTGCCCCCCATCTTGCATCTCTGGTGACAGATCATGTACCTCTCTCTAACAGGCACATGAATTTGCCACTAGTTGTGACATTCGTTGCACAGATAGATGCCAGGGTTCACCTGAGTGTCTATAACATTCTTTATGAATTCCAAGGATAGACTTCATCCACTCTTATTTTTAGTGTCATGTACTATAAATAGTTCTTCCTATCTCTTCTATAATTTACAAATATTCACATCTAACACATTCTTGTAAATACTATTCATATACAATATGCACAAAATATCAACATTATTATAACATTGCTCCACCTGAAATTAGGTGCAGTTTATAAACTTGGAGATAAATGTGCCTTGAGCAGGTGAATATTGATGTTTGCAACTTTGCACATCCTGGATATAGTACACAAAGGGCCTACTGTTACTAGCTAAGGCAGAAAGGCAGATTCATTAAGTTTTAGACCAGTGCAAAGAACAGCACTTGGAGATGTGAGTCTTGTTTGTTTTCATGGTGATTTTAATATCCATATTAAAAATAATGTACTATACTATGTGGTGCCTTTTAACTGTGTTGATTTATTACAGGTATTTATATAGTGCCTGGACAGCATAAATTCCCAAATGTGACCCCTTTTTGAAACCTAGACACCCTGAGGGAATTAGATTTTTTGACACAATTATTTGGAAATGAAGAAACATGTTGGTATTGAGGGGGTTAAACATGGAGCTGGTAATGCTACACTAGATACAGTGAGGGGAATTTATAAAAACTGAAGCAGATAGTATCTGGAGGAATTGCCTATGGCAACCAATCAGCTTCTCTCTTTAATTTTGAAAGTTAACTGACTATACTGAAGAGAATAGCTGATTGGTTGTCATAGGGAACTGGTCCAGATTCTGTCTGCTCCAGTTTTTATGGATTTCCCCTAATAAATGTACAAATCATATACAGAGGAAGCAGAGGTGAAGGTGTTAAAGTACAGGCCGCATATCATGGGAAGATGGAGATGGGCAGGTGAGGGGTTAATATACAGGTCAGATCAGAGACAGAATGGAGCTGACATATACAGGAGAGGAGAGGGGATGAAAGGGTTAAAAATGATTACAAACGTTGTGTCTGGATGACTACTGTATGTTATTGTTTGTGACTTTGTTATTTATGTTTGTCCTAAATAAAGAATTTAAAAGAAATGATTACAAAAATGTTTTTGTTGCTGCTTTTTGTATTCATCGGTTACTAATAAATAAATGATTTCTTAATTCATAAACTCCTATTCATTCCCCTTCCTCTGTTATGATAGGAAGGGGAGGGTTTGGCAATGAAAACATTGAGATGTGATTGCAGTGATGACCAACCACAGTGATTACATGGCCCAGAGGCGTTCCAGTCGGCTCTGTACTGTCTAATGACGGCATGGACAAAGGTAGACACAGGAGGGTGTACTGGTATCTCCTCCCAGAATAACCACTCCACCTAAAAACCGTTTATATACAGTGGACGGTACGGAAGTGGTTAAATACTGCTTTTTGGGTGAAACACTGTCTTATAAATTTTGATATTTTTGTATGCATTTATTTATTGGTATATATTTTTTATAGCTTCTTTCTATCTGAAATTGGACTTTTTATGTATATACTGCATCTGATTTTGGGTGGGCACAGTGTCATGACATTTGGGTAGAGCACTGTTAAATAAATGTAGGGGTTTTGTTTTTTGTTTTTTTGCATTTATGTACTGTATGTGACTTGGTACATGATTTAGTATTCACTAAGATGCATTAGAGGGGGATATTTGTGAATAGGCATCACTGGTTATAAAAGCTGATACTAGACAATACAACATCTATAATCTTCACAGCAGCTACAGGGTGGAAGATTCATCAGGTATTGGATTTGGGAATATAGTTCAGGTTATAGGTATAAAGTGGGAGTGCAGAATGTTTTTTTACTCATCCACTTTAACATAAGTAACATTGGCAATATGCAGTTACCACTATAATGGTTTTATAAATGCTCTGTGTTTTATGCCTGTGCTGTCAGAATCTAAGAACAACTCTACGGATCGTGTTTACATCTTTTTATTAATTAGTATCTGTGCGGGAGATCTTAAATAACTGCTACATCAGTGTTAGGCTGATGAAGGGGGTTAGGAGGTAAGTTCACTTTCCCAAGTAATTTGGGCAAATGGAATTACCTGCTCAAATCTGGCCCCCTCTTACCCCCTACCCCGTGGTCTTTGCCCTCCACCGGTAAGGGTGTACTATCCATGCCCCGTACTACCGTCCAGCACAGCTCTGTGCTTTGGATTTTGAATTTCGCTCACAAATTGGGAGCACCCATTCAGTCACCTAAGAAGCGCAATTTGCTAGCAAAATGCAAAATCCAAAACCCAGACCGGCGAAGGAGAACGACCGTTTGCCGAAAGGTAAGTATAGTGAGAGGGAGAGGAGGCCAGATTTGAGCGGGTAATTCCTTTTTCCCAATTTACCTGGGAAAGTGAACTTACCCTTTAAGGTTGGTTTTCCTTGAATTGCACTCCTGTCACAGCATCTTATTACTGCACAAAGATTAGTTCAGTATTTCTCAACCTTTTTTTAGTTACAACACCCTTTAAAAGTATTCAAAATCTTGAGGCACCACAGTCTAAAATGTAAAAACCATAAATGTAAAAAACAATATGTGCCCCTACAAAATCTATACCAGACCCTTATCCAAGGGAGCCCCCTCCCTTCACATCAGGAGCCCTCTTCACATCAGAGGCATAAGGCT